ACAGAAGTGCTCCCTAAAAGGGTAGAACAAAAGCCAGGAAATATCCGTAGGTAGATTTAGCCAAGCTTTGGCCCAGAGGGCTGGAAGTGCTGAATTCTCCTTGGCTTCAGGGCTGGGCGGGAGAGGGTGGCAGTTTCTGCTCTCAGTTTGAAGAAGCTGAGGAAGCAGCTATCTCTAAAAAAAACACAAAAGTCTTAATTTTTAAAGATCCATCTTAACCCCTGTTACCTAAAGACCACACTTTGAAAACCACTAGTGTATTCAACACAGCAAAAAGGAACTTTCAAAGGTAGAATTTTTTCCCTTAGACAAGTGGATTTAACAAACTTTCTTTTCCCTGGGGCATACCCCCCCCCCCCCCATAGTGACCAAAGATACAGATGCAGCCCCAGGAAGTCCAGGTCCAGTTTCTTTTCTTTTTTTTTTTCTTTTGGTACCTGGGATAGAACTCTGGTCCTTGTGCTTGCCAGCAGGCGGTGAAACCACTGAGCTAAACCCCCCGGCCCCCAGGCCCAGTTTCTACCCAGTAAAGAGTAAATGGAAGATTGCTGGGAGCAATAAACCAAGCCTCCCAGGTCTATTACCTCAAAGTATTCCCCTTGCTGCTCCTCCCTGTAGAAGACCCTAATGCACTTGACAGGGTAAGATGGTGATTGGAGGCCAATAAGGCTCCTTCCTCTCCTCTGAGATAGCTTTGGAAAAATCCCTTTTCCATTTCACCAGAATAAATGGCCACCTTTGATTTACTCAGAGGTGAACAAATTATGGACTGGCCTAAGTGGCCAGTAACACTAGGAAATCGCTGCTGGAAGGGAATCTTACTAGTCTAGGTTTAATGTTAGCGACAAAGTGATGGGCAGACAGGATGAATTATCAAAAGGTGCTCTATAACATACATCAGGGAATAAGCATTACTAAATAGATTTGCAGGGTGTGATAACGCACACCTGTAATCCCAGCACTCAGGAGTCTGAAGCGGGAGGATCACACATTTGAGGCCAGCCTGGGCTACATAATGAGTTCAAGGTCAGCCTGAACTACATAGTGAGACCCTGCCTCGAAAAACAAAACATTAAACAATTTTTAAAAGACAGGAATGTAGCTCAGTGCAAAGGCCCAAGTTTCAAGCCCCAGTACCATGAGCAAGAGACTTTGCCTCATTACCCTTAGATCCTTGTTTTCAATTGCTTCTTCAGGAACAGTTTCACTTGTAACTAAAAGTCGGGGCGGGGGGTGGGTATCTTGAAGTTATTTTTGCTCATCCTAGTGTTACCAGGTTTGGGGGTGCTGGAGTCTCTTAGAGGTAGATTTTAGGTTTTTTCTGTCCAAAACAAAGAATTGGTCAAGGTGAGTGCAAAGGTAGCAAGATTCTACATTTATTAAAAGAAAGGGATCATGCTCTGCAAAGCAAGATCAGGCCAACTAAAGGTAAGCAAAGATAACAGGGTGGGCCGGAGAGAGTTAACAGTGGCGCTTGCTGGATGGAGGCTGTCTCTGCTGTTTCCCAGCTTCTCAGGCTGAGGTCAGGTCTAGGGCGTTCTCAAAAACCTGCCTCTGGAGAACTGAAGATAGCTCTGTCTGACAGTTTCTAAGAGCAGGACTTCAAGAAAAGTTCTGCAGGGGTCTTTGAACTTTATGACTAACAATTCAAATCTACTTCCCCAGCCAGTTTGCTGTCCTAATCTCCTACAGCACTGGTGTCCCTCGGATCCTCCCCTCCATTGCCTTTCTAGGGACTAAAGAGTTTAGCTGGCTGTGGTGATGCAAGCCCGTAATCCTAGCTTCTGGGAGGCTGAGACTGGAGTATCTCAATGAGACCAGGCTGGGCAACTGAGTGGCTTAGTGAAACTGATACGAGATGAAATATATGAAAAGATTGTATCTCCCAACCTGCCAGATGTCTGATACACCGAATTCAAGGCGTGTTCTTTTAAAAGCGAAGAATGAATTCTAGGAACAAGGGAGGTTAAAAGTAGGAAAATAGGGCCAGGGATTTAGATCAGTGGTTCCGGCGCTTGCCTCTCAAGCCCAAGGTCCCAAATTCGATACCCGGTACCAAAAAAAAGTAGGAAAATATTTATTGAGGGGGAAAGATATTGTTCCTGAGAAAGACAGGAGTGGATCCAAATGGGTTGTCGGGGATCCCATTATGTTACTTTTCTCTCGCTGTTGAGACAAAATACCCAACACCCAAAGTTAAAAGAGGAAAGGTTTATTTATTTTTTTAAATCCTTTTATTGGTACATTGTAGGTATACAACACAATTACATTTCTCATTGGGAACTTGTACCTTTACATGATGCATTTTGGTTCTTATTTTATCCCCATTCCTAGCCCACCCTTCCCTATTTACAAAGACTTTATTTCCATTTTTTCCATTTCTCATCATTTTTCGTTTCCCTTCTTTCCTTTCCCCTGCCCCTCCCACTACCCCTACCCTTTTGGACCTTTTCTGAGGAAAGGTTTATTTAGCTCAGTTTGTAGAGATTTCAGTCCTTAATTGGCTGGCTCCAAGGCAGCGTGGCACATGGCAGAGGGGCAACAGCTCATGGCAGCTGACAGGAGGTAGCGAAACAACAGAGGCCTTAATAGCATCTTTCTGCCTCTTTTATCTCATCCTGACTACAGAAATTAGGGCAGTGCCAAATCTATCAGTGTTCTGGTTTAGTAATCACATGCTCTTAATCCCAGTATCACACACTGTAGATTCAGCCCCCTCTGAAAAAGTCACCTATGAAGCATGGGGTGTGTGCACGCAGGCATCTAGACCCAAACCAATACAACCACTTTACAGGGAAGTTTGGTTTGTTTTGGTACCGGGGATCGAACTCGGGTCCTTCTGCTTGGGAGGCAGGCGGTGAAACCACTGAGCTAAATCCCTGGTCCTAAAGGGAAGTTTTATAGAGCAAAACTCATGTGGGTATAATGTGAGTTATAGCTATGATTAACCAATAAGGGTACAAGTATAGTCGCTGAGGTAATAGTGATCCAAAGGGGAAGCAAGTCATGTAGCAAGAGTTATGTGGAAGGAACAAAGAAGGACTCTGGTAGGTGATGGATCTGGGGGTCTGTCACCCGCTGAGGTGACTGATGCCTTTCTACACTTTGCTAGACCAAGAGTTGTCACTTATCCCTTGGTGAAGTATGTAGGCCTGGTCCTTTTGTCCCCACCAGTTGTAGGTGTTTTCACCTTTTGTCTTGACACTCTGGAGAGCTCAGCCCTGTCTACCTATTATATTTCTATCTAACTTAGTTGTCTATAATAAAACCATAAAATAGCTGGGGATTTAGCTCAGTGGCACCGTGCCTGTCTGCCAAGCACGAGGTCCTGAGTTCAATTCCTGGTACCAGAAAAATAAGTAAATAAAATAAGTTTAAAAAATGTAAAGATTCAGTAGTGTTCCAGATTCTGCATATTGTGGCAGAGAGCTGGTTTGATTTGGTAAGACTCGCAGAGGACACTGGGGCAGCAATAAGGTATAACACACAGTATTGCAAACAGGAATCACCTGAAGCACAACGTTAACCCTCAGATCAAACAAAATCAGACCTACGGAAGAGGCCTAGGAATCTTTGAATAATCGCCTCGGGTGATTTTTTTTCTGATTAGCAACTCTGGGAAATACTGATGAGACCTCTCAGTCCTTTTCTAATGACAGCAAACAGCCCTAAAAGTTATTTCTATGTATTCGCGAGATCACTGGTCACGAGAACATTTCTCAAGTCTTTTCTTAGAAATTTTGTTCGAACTGAGCTGAAATCAACTCGCACACGCTGAGCAGTGGGTGAAGTGTTTCTGCTTGCGTGTGCTTTGAGCTAAGGAACTCACCCTTCCCCACCCATTTCTCAATCGCCCTAGAACTTCCTCCTGCCTCACCTCTAGGCCAACCTGGGCCTCCGGTCTGCCCTGTGCCCCACTACATTTCTCCACTAGCACATCTGGTGCTTCCCCGGTTCACGACGCTTTGCTGGAAGAGTCAATTTTCCAGGGATTTTTACAGGCCGGCCAAAACAGTTTGTTCCGAAGAGCGACGTCGGGAGGGCTGGCAGCGGGCGGCGAGGTTTCCTGACGCTGCGCCACCACCCGTGACCTTGGGCGAGCCAGAGGCGTCAGGACGAAGCTCAGGCGGCCCCTGCAGAGGACGTGGGGCGGGGCGGGAGGCGAGGGCCCAGCACCCAAGGGCCCGGCCCCTCAACGGAGTCGGTCGAACCCTCCTAACTCCCGGGCGGAGGGGCTGGGGTACACCTGCCCGGGACTGGAGACAAAGCGTGAGAACTCGGACGGGGAAAAGCGGGTTTCAGCGAGAAAATCGGGAGGAGGGAAGCCGAGGGCGGACAATCGGGTTAAAAATAGCAACGCACTCTCCACAAGACTAGCCGGCTCCAGCTCCACCCAGGGGCCGGCCGCCCGGCTAGTGCCTGGGCTCCGCGAGACTTGGAAACGGCCAGCCGGACCCTCCTCCCGCAGCCAATCAGCATGGGCTGCAGGCGGGGCCTCGGACGCGGACGTCACTGCGCTGCCGCCGCAGCCCACGGGGTTTTCGCTGACGAAAGGCCCCGCCCCCGCCCCCTCTTCCCTCAGCCTGAGCGTTTGGGCCCAGCGCGCCTCAGTCGGCCGGAGCGCGGAGCGGTCTGCACCTCGACGAGAGGCTCGCTGGCTTCCGCCGGCCGCGCAGCTTCCCCGACGGCCGCAAGGGCGACGGAGAGCGCCATCAGCGGGTCCCCACGCTGCCCAGGCCTCGCCGCTCGCGCTCCGTCCGCCCTCTGACTCGGCTCAGCCGGCCGCTGCCGGAGGCGTGAGGCGACGACGGGCGAGCGCCGCGAGGAGCGTTAGCGGCCGCGGCCTCCGGTCCTCCCTCCGCCTCCTCCCCGCCCCCCCATTCCGGAGCCCGGCGCGTCCCTCCACGCTCGGTGCGGCTGCAGGAACAAAGGAGGACTCCTCGCGGGCAGCGGCGGCGCCACCTCCGCCTGAGGCCTGACCCGCTTCCGGCCCGCGGCGGCGGCTCCAGGGCACCCGGCTCGCCCTTCCCGCAGGCCTCGGCCCGGCCCCGACCGCAGCGCACCGGCGTCGCGCGCGAGCTCTGCGTGTGCATCCGGGCCCCGCAGGGTGAGTGGTGCGGGTCCCGGAGGGCGGGTCCGGGTGAGGCCCGGGCCGCCGCGGGCTTCCAGCGCAGGCCGAGCGGCCGCGGACGGCAGCGTCCAGGGGAGGGAGGGAGCCCTCCCAGGAAACACAAAGAAGGGGCGTCGTCCTGTCGGCGTGGCCCGGCGCCCCGCTTCTCGCGCGGCCGAGGACAATGCCCGCGTGCGGCCTCGCGCCACTCGGGTCCCGCAGGCCCTCGGCGCGGCCGGCCTGGGCAGCCCAAGCCCAGAAATGAAGGCCGAGGCGGCGGCCGCGCTCACTCCCCCCGAGGAGCCGTTCGCGTCGGTCTCGGCGCGGGGTGAGGGGCCCCGGGCCTGCGGAGCCGCCGTCGTTCTGCATGACTCAGTGGTTTTTGGAGAAGGCCCGGCTGGGCTTTTCTGAGCGAGGCCTTCGCTTGAAGGGGGTGAGGGGGACTTTTGCGACCCAAACTCGGTCTAGATCTGTGCAGCATGGAGCCGGGGCTTCTCTTTTCGTCGTGTTTTAGTTCCTCCCAGGATCCTTTTCAAGGAGGAAATGGAGCACCTTTTCCTTTGTTCCGTGTATTTAGGCTGGTAAACTTGAGGGTTTTTACTCTCTTTCCACGCATTCTGTTGAGCTGGTTTTAAGTGAGAGCTTTGGGCTATCTATTGATTGAGACCCTCCTAAGACTGTTCCTCGGAGATGTATTTGATAAAGTACTATATAGGTCACAGCTTTTAAATCTGAGGTTTAGATAATTTTCAGGCTTATACAGTGAAATTAAATTCTACTCTAAAGTAGGACTTGAGAACCTTCCTTAGTGAAAATATTGCAATTTTTTCAACTTTTTTTCTTAAAGTGTCCAAAAATTATGAAGGGTTTGCTGTAGTTACATATTTATTGACTCTCAGGCCCGATATTAAGTCTGGAAAGGAGCTTTAAAATCTCCCTTTGGCAGAAGGAACTGAGATCAGGAGAGTAAGGACTTGGCCAAGGTCACTGGCTTAATTAGTGGCAGATTAAGGCTAGAACCCGTGTCTCAACTCCCAGGTGAACTGTGAGCATTCTTGAGTTCTTACAACATTATGGGCACCTGAAACAACTATATTCCATAGGCACACAAACCTTTTATTGGGGAGGTGTTTTTTTAAGTTACCCGGATATTTTTAATTTAGGAGTTAGGAAAGGCCACAAAACTTTATTTTTAAAAAAATACATTTGGGCTATGCCTGGTAGAGACGATGGATAAATGCTTAAGTTTCTAACAACTTTAAAGGTAGTAAATAGTAGCTGTTTTCTTTAAAAATACAGAGGGAATGAAGGTACCTAAGTGTGAACGGTCCCCCTCCCTACATAATTAATTGCACCTAAATATAAGAAATCTTTATACTTTTCATGCTCTCTACTGTTTAATTCTTTTTTTATAAACAGCCTTGACCATATTTTTTAGCTTCACAAAAGACTATAGCTTGGTTTTGAGATTGTTCCCTAATCCTCCCTGCATTAGGAAAAAACTGGCATCCCTAATGCATTTTTTTACTTTGTTTTCTTATGTTAGATACAGAAATGCGGCATCTTTAGTTCTTGGGGTTGTGTAGGAGTTGGCAGGCTCAGATATAAATAGAAGCTGATTTCAGAGGCCCCTGTTGACTAGGCTTTATGTGAGAGCCTCCATCCAGCTCAGCCTGTCACATTGCAGCCTTGTGACAGGCTGAAGCGCCCTCCCATGTGATCTAAGCTTCTGAAAAATATTAAGTCAAGCTGTGCACACGTGATGGCATTTAAAAGCTGGCCGCGGAGCCCGAGGGTGGGGGGTGGGGGTGTCCCTAAAAGATAGAAGGCCGTGTAGAAGATTTTAATGTCCTGGTGTCTCTTGAGTTCAAAATTTATTTATCAGGAGTTGAAGGTACATGTTCTGAAAAGGAAAGACGGAATGTAAAAGTGGGTGAAATCATTAGATGAGGCCTCCCCTAATTTGTTTCCATTAAAATATTGTTTTGTTTAACTGAATTATTTTATGTGATCAAGTTGGTCTTAAATTTAGGAGGGTGCTTTCAGAGTAAAATGGCACTGAAAGTATAGCACGTGAGCAAGCTAATTCTTAAACTGTCTTCAAGGAGCGTTAACTTTTTTGTGTAGCGCAGATTAACATGTGCGGTGGGAATAATGCATAATTTATTACTTGACCTTTTTTTGCTTCTGTCATTCAGCATTTGAAAACCTCAACTAAAACTGTTTATTAAACTTCATAAGTGATGTTGAAATGTTTACACTACCCTGCTCCAAATGAGTCAGCTAAATTCCACTTACTATTTAAAGAGGCAGTGTCAACTAAATTAGTACTATTCTAAGTTGATGATTTTGGTCACACTACTTACTAGCTTCATTTGCTTGAAATACCATACTATTTGATTTACAAAGAGATTGCTGTCATTTAAGTGATGGGGTTGTCAATATTCTGGTCAAGTCAAAATTGGTTATTCTTCTTTCTCCATTTTTTAGTTTTATTTTTGGTACTGGGGATGGACTCAGGACCTTGCCTTTGCAAGGCAAGTGCCATGCCACTAAGCCCTTCTTTCTCCATTTTTATAATTTTAGTAAAGAGTTAATGCTTGATAAAACATGGTTTTAACTCACTGAGTGTATTCTAATATGTGGTAATTGGAAGCGAGCGGCCACAAGTTATATGGTACAGAATTTCCCTTTAATGAAATCCTATCAAATACTGCTTTTTATATAATTATCTAATCATCCTTGTGTGTATTCTCTTAGCCTGAAGAAAACTTACTGAGCACAACATTACTATATTTTCGCTAATTTTTAGCCATGGTTCTAGGAAAGCAGTTAGGCTCACTGTATAGTTTTCTGGTTACCTTGCATTAAATATTAACCATTACTAAAGGTTATGTACTCATTGCTTTACTGTATTAAATTTTAAGTTTTTATGAGAATAGTACTTGTTACAATTAATGGAGTATTTGGCTGAAAAATCTATGGTTAATTTGCTTTGTAGGTTTTTAGGCACTTGCTTTAAACAAATAGTTGCCTGTGCCTCAGTTGAATTGAAATTACTAATGAGGCCCAGATATGTCCAGGTATAGCTTTAAGAAAGCTTTCAGACTAAATCCAATACTCAGCCAATTTAAAAAATAAATATCAAGAGGTGATTATTGTATGTTGTCCCTTCATTTGGGAATTCCATTTAATGTTTTTAGCCAAGGAAGTAAAATATCAGTTTCCCAAATTGATTAAACCTAATACTGTCAGGGTAACCCTTTTGGAAATTGAAATCAGGATTAATAGAGTGCTTTCTTTTTGCTCCTAAAATGTTTCTTTTACAAAGGCAAAAAATATTCATAATTACCTCTACTTTGGTTAGTAATGGTGTTTAGAAATAACAGGTACCATTGTTGACTGTATTGTGCTCCTTTTATTTTGGTGGCATGCTAAAAATTTAATTTTGTTTTTGTTTATAGCAAACAAGAATGGCTCAGGAGACTAACCAGACCCCAGGGCCCATGCTATGTAGTACAGGATGTGGCTTTTATGGGAACCCTAGGACAAATGGAATGTGTTCTGTTTGCTACAAAGAACATCTTCAGAGACAGCAGAATAGTGGCAGAATGAGCCCAATGGGTAAGTTGTATCCAAGGAAAAACACACTTGAAGAACTGGTGGACAAAAATGCAGAACCAAGAATTGGTGCCTGAGACTGAGAATGCTGAAAGGCAAGGAAAAGACATAACAAGAGCTTAAAATTAAAGCATCAGCCCAGTACTTGACATGACCTCATCAGGAATATCTACAGGCATCTTCTAGCTTTTTCCATTTTTCCTTTTGGAGGTTTTGTATAATACTTGTATTCACTGGATATGACTTTAAATTTTGTGGGAATATTCAAGTAAATGCAGAATTGCAGCACAGTGAACATACTTAAATCACTAATTAAATGCAAGTATTGTTACTTTATTTAGTCAATGCTGAGTTTTTATAGTGTTGAATTGTTTCTTACAAATTCTTTTTTAAAATAGGGACAGCTAGTGGTTCCAACAGTCCTACCTCAGATTCTGCATCTGTACAGAGAGCAGACACTAGCTTAAACAACTGTGAAGGTGCTGCTGGTAGCACATCTGAAAAATCAAGGTAAGATTGAGCATTTCAAAGTTCTCTGATACTGTGGAGAGGAAATGAAGATGTCTGTGTTACTTATGTAATAATGAGGATGCCCTTGGCTTTGCATGCATTGCACAGTTAAGGATTTCAGTGTCCTTTAGTATCTGATTTTTAGGTCATACAGTGTGTTTTACAAAGTACTCTATAACCCCTTCAAGGAGTCTGTTGAAAAAGCTGGGTTTTTTTCCCTTATAATTGAAATTGTGAATTGTAGAGAGTGAGATTTTACAGACAGTTATAGTGCCACACACAAGGTGTTTTGTTTGGCACAGTTTCTCCTTTTGTCTTTAAATTATGGGCACAGCTAAAATTCCTAGTTAGATATAGTAAAACATGGTGACATATAAAATTTGCAGCCTTGAGTACATGAGTCATTTATCAGATTGCTTTCTTCTCAACTATTTATACTGGGCATCCAATATCTTTTTTAAAAATTTTGGTTACCTACCTTCATTTGATCATGTTGGAAATCATGTTATAAAAGTTGAACTGACAACTATCTCAAAAAGAAGTTCTCTTAATATCTTTGAAAATAATTGTTTGCTTGAACTCACATAGAAATGTGCCTGTGGCTGCCTTGCCTGTAACTCAGCAAATGACAGAAATGAGCATTTCAAGAGAGGACAAAATAACTACCCCGAAAACAGAGGCGTCAGAGCCAGGTATGCTTCTCATTTAATACCGGTTCAGTTCTGGATTTGGTAGTATGAGAAAGTTGATGGTGGGATTCTCTTCTTCCCATTGACCAAAGAGAAGGGAAAGCTATGAAAACAGGCAAAGAACTACTATCTGTAAAGTATCTTGATACTTAAAATAGTTTTGCTGTTTTACTCTATGCACATCTCCTCCATTACCCTCACACCTACAAATCAAAGTTTGTCATCTGGAGGCTGGGTGTTTTATGGATTTAATGAACTCAGACTTTGAGGCCATAAAGAAAAATTTTATAATCAAAACCAGTTCCATCTTGATTTGTCAGTGTTGTAGAAAACAAAATAAAAAACGTTTGAACACCAGAAGTGTAAGTGCAGGATCCCTATCATTTTGTAGGAGTTTAAAACTTCTGGAAGGGCATTTTGGTTTTTAATAGTGACTTTGAAGCTGTGCCTACAGCATAACCAAAAGTGCCCTAGTAGGTTGTAGGAATAGTGACTTGTTAGAATTAGCTATGTGCAGTTCATTCAAATCAATTTGTTCTTTCTTAGAGCAGTAACAGTGCAGTATAAAAATTGTGACAAAATAATGATTTGTAGGTCTGCTTTGGAGGCTTGCCTTTTTAACGGTGTAGCCAATTTTATGGTGCGTAGTCTCCAAGTTAAGGTCAAATCCTTTGGCCCTGAAATGGCAGGTGGATCTATGATATTTTAAAATGAGTTCCATTCTTTTGAAAAAATTGACCAAATTAGTGTCATTGTGATGTACTTGGTGTGTGTATGTTTTTTATATAAATTACCTCTGAAGCATAGCTTTGGGTTAGATAGGTAGCTGGTATCTACACTTGTTACTACTTGGTAGACATGTGCATTTTCTGTATCATCCCCTGCTGTAGGCCACCTTTTTGTATGTCTTGTTTTTGCATATGTGGGTAAAGAAATGAATGACACCACCACTCCTTAATCCTCCACATTCTCAATTATTTACCTTCATACCATCAGAAAAAATTGTATCAAGGGTATCATTAATAGCTTATTAGGGGGAAAGGTAGAACACTATTGTATGTCTAATACTAGGCTGTTGATCCCAGTGGGTACATTGCTAATGCAAATTAATGATAAATTCAGCTTGCTCTAGAAGTTTGGATATGCTAATAGCATTGATCTGCCTAGCGTTTTGTTCAGTCATTGAATTTAGGATTGTGTATAAATTTGCTCTTAAGGTTTGGAGTAATACTAAAATTTTAGAACTTAACAGTGTTTCAGATACATGGTTAGAAGTATATGTAAGTAGAAATATATTTTGATATTTTGTCTTGGACTTAATGGCTTTGTGTGTGTGTTGTTCATACAAAGTCTATTGAAGTCAAATATGAACTAAAACAACCTTTGAGGTTGGAGAAAAGGGTGGGACTTTTGTAGATTTTTCTCTTGCTGTTCAGAGTAAAGAAAAAATACAGTTGTGCTTTTAAAAATCCTGTTCTGTGTATGGAATCCTTAATCTTAACACATCAGAGCTTTACAAGCATAAGCTTTTCCAGACTGTCTACTATTTTTTTTTTTTTTTTTTTTTTTTTTGGAGAACAGAGTCTCACTAATCCTACTAGCCTTGAACTGGCAGTGTTACTCCTGCCTAAACCTCAAAGATAGTTTTTTAAATCTTCATAATTTTCTACCTATGACAGTGTTGTACATTTGTGAAAATGACAAAGTAATTACATCGAAACTTTTGAATCTAAAGTTATTTAGGGATGAGTGGCTTGGGCTTTGTCAAAATTTGCTGATTTCATTCAATCAAAATGACGCAGGACCTTCAGAGTTGATAGCTTTTATTATTTGAGAAGTAATGAATTTGAACTTTGTTGAGACATTGGTGTTTAGGAAATTACAACATGAAAGAACTAAGCATACAGTCAGTATCTGTTAGGTCTTTAAAACACAGAATTAGTATCACACACAGTAGCTGGTTAAGTCTGAGATGGAATTTCTTAAGTGTTCATTTCATAAAATTTAGAGGAACAAGCAGTATGGGTATTGGAAGGAAAGGAAGATTCTGTTTAAAAGTTCCTATTTGTAAAGCTTAAACTCCCTAAGTTTGGATAAGGTAATAGTGTTGTTGATCTTTGAATGTTCCTGTTTCTATTAGATGTGGGGGTGGGTTTTTTTTTCTTTGTTTTACTTAGATCATTGTCAGCCTGTGATCTCTGGGCAAGTTTCTAAATTTTTACCCTTACTTTTCAGTTGTTACTCAGCCCAGTCCATCAGTTTCTCAGCCCAGTACTTCTCAAAGTGAAGAAAAGGCTCCTGAGTTGCCTAAACCAAAGAAGAACAGATGTTTCATGTGTAGAAAGAAAGTTGGCCTTACAGGTATTACAAATGCATAAGACAATGTATATTTTAGTACTTGCACTTAATAAAGAGCTCTTGGTCTCTGTATAAAGGACTGGGCAGTCTCACATATTTTTATAAGGACTTGAATAAAAAGTTAATAGAGGGTAGAAAAGGGCAGAGTGAAATAGGGTAAGAGATTGTATTTTACTTTATCTCCTAATCTCATGGTTATTACTAATCTTACGCATGACGGTAAGCTAAACGTGAAATCTTACAGATATTTTCTACAGTAAGTCTCAGAATTTTGTGGTTTATTTTTATCTAGCTTTCCCTTGAAATATTACCCAGTTATCAAATGATGTGGCAGGGCTGTGTTTTGAATTGAAATTCAGCTTGACTCTAGAACCTGTATAAATTGTACCTTGTGTAATGTCTATGGGAGATGATGGAAAACACACGTGGTAGAATTAGCTGACAGGTAACCCATCTTATTGTTTGAACATGGTTTGGCCTACCAAGCACTTTCCATTTCATAGTCCCTACTTCCCTTAGAGGGTAGACTGAGCATAGTTATTTGAATTTCTCACCGTATCTCACAATTTAAAGTAATAGGCTTGATAAAGTATTGACAGTCATTTGTGTTATAAAGCCATGAAAATATGATTCTTTTTTTGTAGTCAGTAAGGCTCTCTTAATTACAAGTTCCCGAGTGACATGGCTTCCTCTTGTTTGTACAGGATTTGACTGCCGATGTGGAAATTTGTTTTGTGGACTTCACCGTTACTCTGACAAGCACAACTGTCCATATGATTACAAAGCAGAAGCTGCGGCAAAAATCAGAAAAGAAAACCCAGTTGTCGTGGCTGAAAAAATCCAGAGAATATAAATTAGTGCTTGTGAAGAGACTGAAACTTTGTTTTTATTTTAATATATCGTAGGAAAACATTAAAGAGCAGATGCATGGCCATTTTCCTTTGATGTTCTCCAGAGTTTTACTTTACACTTGTCTGTTTTATAATTGATATTTTAGGATGTTTGGGTGTTTGTTACAGGCAGAATTGGATAGATACAGCCCTACAAAATGTATATGCCCTCCCCTGAATAAAATTGAATGGAAATTGCACAGCAAATTGAAATAACACAGATAATAAGGGAAAAAATTTAGTTCCCACATGCCAAACAAATGAAATCTCTGCATGTTTGCAGCATATCTGCCTTTTGGGAATGTTATCAAGGTATAATCTTTGGCTAGTGTTATGTGCCTGTATTTTTTTTTTTTAATGGTACACCAGAAAAGGACTTGACTGGTAGTCTACTTCTACCATAGTTAACTTTTCACCCTCTTAATTTCCACATGTTCTTTGGAAGCAGGATGAAAGCTATAAAGAAGGATTGGACCTTCCTTTCTGTGAAACCAGTGTTTGGTGCCAAATGTAAGCCTGGTTAAATTGGTCTTCTAAAAGCTGTCAAATAAGACATTCTGTGAAAGGTTATATATCGCAACTGGTTATAAGTAAAACCATCAAGCCAACAACAGGGTCTTGAGATAATCTTTGAAGCTTGTGCTGGCCTGCACCAGAAGATGTCTGCATTATTCTCATTAAAAATGTGTGTAGCACAGAACTGCACTAGGATTAATCACTTTACAAGAAGAAATTAAAACTGTTTTTGGTTTTCATATACAGCAGCTCTATTGAATAACATGCATCTGAATTTTTAAGTTGCAAAGGTATCTGAACAGTTAATTTTTCATGTGCATCTTTTGTTGAATGTTTTGGTTCAAGAAAGAATGCTCAAAGCTTTTTAAAGACTTCGGTTTTAATGTAATTGTACCCTTCTGCATGGAAAATCATAACCAACATGGCTGCAGTAGACTTCTTAGTGGTATCCAGCACCACTTGCAGAGGGCTGCTTTATCATATTAATTGTACTTGGGTGTAGGACTCTAGTGTTCTTGGGTGTATTGCATGGACTGCATTATCTACAGCATTGAACAATAACAACTAGAAAAGGCAGTATACTTCACTGATGCTTGTTTGGTAATATCACTTCTGTGTTATAATGGAAGGTTTCCTGTGATGTATGAAACTTGTGTTTTTTATATATAAATGAGTATAGTTAGTGTTGTGGTAATGCCTGTTTTCATCTATAAATAGTTAAGTATGTACACGAGGCACTACTTCTGATTTATTGCAGTGTTTGGTCCTAGTTCTTTTATTAAAGCATTCAGTTTTGGTTTCAATTTTATGTACCTTAGTTCCAAGTTAGATCTGCAGATGTGTACAGATAGTTCATATTTATGTATTGCACATAATCATGCTATTCAGCATTGATGCTATATTGTATTATGTAAATAATAAAAGCCATGTACAGAGGGAAACTTTATTTGTTCATTGGGTTTTTAAGGCTTAGAATCCTACAGAGTAGAAAATGTTTCATATTCAACTTCATAGTTGCATATGTAGACTGCATGGCTATGGTGTAAATTTTATTTTCCACTGGAGTCCTTGAACTCTTGTCAAGTAAACAACATGAATTTGAAACATTTTCAAGTATGGTACATGAAAGGTAGTTTGTTTTTGGAGAACTGAACAGGCATTTTCAGGATCAAATTCTCAAAGCATTACCTTTTTTCCATGTGCTTCAATCTATTCTATGATTAAAAACCCTGAAGAGGAAAATAGGCATAACTTTGTTTACAATGGGTCATTTTATTTTGAGACTTTGGCTCTAATAAGATGGGCCCATGGACTTTTTTGTAGGTGTTATGCCAAGTAATAAATTTAACAAGCTGACTTTGCCCCACAGGGCAACTGAAGCCAAGAGCAGAACCATTATTTCTTAAGGTTGGAGTGTGGGAGGAAAGTACTTAACTGGGTTCTTCATGTGCTGCTGCTTTTGCTTCCCAATGGAAGTGTTGGGGTTGAAGTTCGTGCACTAAAATGTGGGTGGTGTCCTCAATATCAAGGGTAGTAGTTAATAACAGCGGAATTGCAAATCAGTATTTTGAAAGGGAACTTAGTTTTTCAATTTTAAAATAAGACCATTAGTGCCATCTCTGTCACCAAAAATTTGATAAATTTAAATCTAGCTTAAAAGTTTGGGAATAAGTACTAAGACAAATGAGACAGCCCTGAAGCTCCTTCAGTTTATGGATGTTTCCATGATAACTACTAGAAAAGGGGCTTTGATTAGCAGGAATGTGTGAGAGATAGCAGGAGGGGAGAGGGGTCAGAGTGTGAAGCCTTCTAAGAAGATTGAAGTCTACCCAGACGAGTCATACCTGCATGTTTCCTCAGTTCTGATTGAAGGCTTTAACTTTGTAATGTATGCTGAGGTTTTAAGCATTTTAATACTATACTGTTTCTCATAAATCTTAGCAGCTCTCCACCTAAAAAGGTTCCCTGGGACCGGCCAGGAGTCAATTTAGCTGTATGACTAGACTTACTTTTTTCAAGTCTAATCTTAAAGTGAGCCTGCTCTGTAAAGCCAGGGTCTTAGGTTTGACCTGGTGTGGTCTTCCCACAGAATGGATTAGTTTGCAAAGGAAAGGTATGTGTTTTAATGGTGTAGTGACTGGGGTCATGAACATTAGAACTAGGATATTAGAGGGCAGATTATTTTAGGTTGGCCTGGGCTGCTTGTTAAATGAGGATTTTAACTGTTCAGGAATGTGAAAACAGCACTTGAAACTGCCTAGCATGTAGCACTTGCTAATTTTTTTTTTTTTTTTTTGGAGATAGGGTCTCTAGGTGAATCTGGTCTTGACCTTCACTGTGTACCTCTTGAACTTGTGGTGATCCTCTTGCCTCTGCTTGCTGAATGTTGGGACTACAGGTGTGTGCCACCACTCCCAGCTCTTGATAATCGTAAAATAATGATTTCTATAACTAGGAAAGAAAACAATTTAAGGAAATTGGTTACTTCAAGTTCTGAGGTGAAAAGATTAAATTTGTGACTTAAGCCTTAAGTAATTGGAGTCCTTTTAACTAGTCTTTGCAGATGTTCTCACATTAAATGAAGTTCCTAGCAAGCAATTAAAGTTGGGCAAACATCTACTTAATAGCAATAATAATAGTAAGCATACTGCTGTTGTTATTTTTTGGTAGCTAATACATTCATGTGCTTCCAAAATGAGTTTAGTGTGCATTAAGCACAGCTGCCTCATCTTAACACCCACTATTCTAAAGGCACACATATTTTCAGTCAATGTCAGGTTAGAAAGGCTATTTGGTCTCTTCCACTTTGTGTAAATGTTTGAATATATACAAAAACTTAAGGTTTGACACTTGTCTTTATATAAAATTTGTACAGTTTTTGTCCATAGTATTAGATTGTAATTTTTGGAGAGAGTAATAGGTTGCTGACTTAACAAAAAGTATGTATCCTTAAGTTCTCTAAAACTGTATGTGGACTAGGCAGCAGGCTTTTAATGAAACTTGAAAATTTACAAAGCAATTCTGCATGTTTGTACTTTTAAAAAGAACTGAATGTGTGGGGCCCTATAGAAAAGTATCAATACAGCTGTTTTCACACATGCTGGTTTTCAGTTTATGTAAAAGGAAAGCACTGTTTTCTCTTCCAGAGTGTATTTTTCTTAGTCGTACAAGTAAGTTAAATAATTATTGCCATAATTGTAAATTCATTCTGTTTACAACTGCTAAGTGCTACTTACAGTATGGGTGCCAATGTTGCTAAGTCACACTGCACACGGAATACTTAACTCATTAACAGTAAATTGAAGGGAATTATAGTAATTGAATAGTGTTAATATTTTTCTTGATTTTGATTGTCTTCACAGAACCTCAGATTGTATATATCTGAAATGATTGGTAATGTATCAAGCTGTTCAGGAGTTGAGGTAATCGTCAGTCAAACTCAGATAGGAAATCTTTCTAGCATTCTCACGTTTCAGTTGAGTGTAGGAATTGAGTGTAGGAACTGTTAAATAGCATTTACTTAAGAACTTACCCTTTGGAGTTCAGGCATCAGCCAGAAAAAATGTAAACTAGCCTGCATGAGTTCGACTTAAACTCTAGTGTCTCAGTAAATTTTTCAGACATCCTGTGTGTATATCCATGGCAAATTTTTAACTTAGCTTGTCCTGGCCACGAAACTTAATCTTGTCCTCTTTCCACTTCACTAAGAATATGTTCAGACATCTAAATTGCAATACCACATAATGATTGAGGTGTTGGTTGGTTTTTGAGGCAGGGTCTCACTATGCAGTTCAGGTTGTCCTTGAACTCCTGTATATATAGCCCAAGCTGGCCTCAAACTCAGCAATCCTGCCTCAGCCTCCCAAGTGCTGGGATTAAAGCTGTTTATTACCACACCCAGCTAAGATTTTGAGTTTTTATTATATGGTATACAGCCGCTCGTAAATAGAACCCCAAGCATTTTTCTTTTTTTCTATATCCAACCTTAGAAACACTTTACTTGTAATGTTTCCTAAGGAGCTACCCTGTGGTAAAAGCCTTTAACTACATACTAAAAACAACTGACCTTAATTTTTCTTAGTACATGTTTGCAATACAATAAGGAATCGGTATATGGACATAACACATCTAATTCTTTTTCCCTCCACTCCCCCTTTATGCCAGCATCAGATTCATTTTGTTGTTAAGTCCTTATAAAGTTTATACATACAGATTAAGAACCAGATTAATAGGGTTAAAAACATAAAGACAGTAACTTCTAATGTTGGAGTTTTGTACTATTTTTTACTATTACAGAAATCATCCCACAGTAAAAACCTGTAATACTTAAAACCAGATTAATAGGGCTAAAAACATAAAGACAATGACTTCTAATGTTGGAGTTTTGTACTATTTTTTACTATTACAAAAATCATCCCACAGTAAAAACCTGTAATACTTAAATAAGAATGGGTAATCTGAGGCCAGGGATTTAGCTCAGTGGTTCCACCGCCTCCCTCCCTGCCTTGCAAGCACAAGGTCCTTTATCTGAATTTAAACATCTGCTAAAATGAACTACATTTAAATAAGCTTTAGTTTTAGCTAGATTTAGATTATTTGGTTGGCATGTCAATTAGATTGTTTTATCATTGGCTAGATTACATTACATGAAAGATACTGACTTCAGAGGATTTTTTTAATACTTTATTTTACTGGTACATGTTTGCAATACGTAAATTTCTCCTAAGGAGTTAGTACTTACACGTAGAACATCTTCTTTTGTTTTTCATCTCTTCCCCCTTCAGAGGTTTAATAGATAAAACAATGTTACTTGTTCAAAGTAAATTCAATCCACAAGCATCAAAATATAATGCATTCATATTCAGACATGACCTTTTTAGCATTCAGATGATAGGCATGTTTATGAGTCTTAAAAGTAATGGTTCTATTTTTTAAAAATAAATTTTATTGATACAATTTATGCATAATGATCACACTAATCAAAGGGCATTTGTTCCTTTGCATGATGTAGCCCAATTCCTTTTTCTCTTATTACCCTTGCCTCCCTTCAGCCTCCCCCCATTTCATATTATCTGTTATACATTTTGGTCCTTATTTACCCTTTCAGTTTCTCACACTAGAGTGCAATATTTACACGTGTCTGATTTATTTCACTTGAGTATAGTCTCAAGTAGCATCCATTTAGCTATAAATATCTCAAGTTTATCTTTCTTTATGGCTGAGTAGTATTCCATTGTAGAAAAACATCTTTTTTAATCCATGAGCTGATGGGCATTTGGGTTGTTTCCAAGATTTAGCTATTACAAACTGTCACTATAAACATGGGTGCACATCTATCGTGGTATGATGCTTGTAATTCTTTTGGGAAGATACCCAGCAGGGGAATAGCTGGGTCAAGTGGGACCTCTAATCCTAATTTTTTCTTTTTTCCTTCGGTACTGGTGATTGAACTCAGGAATTTGCATTTGTAGGGCACGCTCTGTGCCATTGAGCTAAATCCCTGGCCTTCTAATCCTAATTTTTGAGAAATCATACTGATTTCCACAATGGTTGGGCCAGTCTGCACTCCCACCAACAGTGGGGCAGGGTTCCTTTTTCCCTACAGCCTCACCAGCATTTGTTGGTTGATTTCATGATCCACTCTTTCTGGAATGAGAAGGAATCTTAGCGTCATTTTCATTTGCATCTCTCAGATGACCAAGGATGTTGAAAATTTTTTCATATATTTGCTGTTTCTACTTCACCTGAGAAGTGTCTATTCATTTCAGATGCCCAATTTCAGACTGGGTCTTTAAATTTGAGGGGTCTGATTTTTTTCAATTCTTTGTATGTTCAGTTCTTTGTATGTTTTATCTGAGGGGCTACTGACTAAAATTTCCCACTCTCTGGGTTCTCTTCACTCTTGGCGATTTCTTTTGCTGTGCAAAAACTTTTTAATGAG